GTCCTATATAGGGTTAGGATAGGTAGGCAACAGTGGACCAGGATCACAAATCGCACGAAAATTGGTCTAATGATTTTATCTAACATGGTAAAAAGTTTAGATTATGATGATCCAAAGCAAGATGACAAAAGTTTGTTAGCCACAAAATGCAAGAACTGGTCCTCTGACTGAAGGCTTAGGTTAGAAAGGGAGCAGCTGGATCTTCCAATATTTTGTGATTCAAGAAAGAAAGTGGTAGTACAAAATGAATATGTTAGTTGTGTTGAGCGTAGTAAATAACCCCTTCGCGTAAAGTTTCAAGCGAATGAATGATTCCGACCTCCTTCCTGGTTCGTATCTCCTATAACATGCCGTCAGTCAGGAAAAATTTGGTAATTATGGTGACCATACCACGAAGCTCTACAAGACGATTGTTTCAGCAAGTTTCATAACTCACCCCTACCATCCACCTATATGACCTTAAAGCAAAAATCTTCTCGTGCAGTGGACATGATAATTATGATCAGCATGTGAAATAACCCATTATTTTTCAAGTGGTCTTATAATTACAAAATCCCCTACCGCCTGACTACAGTAACCCTACAATGTGCCAGTACCATGCGGAACGAGTATGACATTTGCGATCAGCATACCAAATGATTACCCCTAGGGAAAATTCGGCGACATTCAAGACGTTGAAATTCTGGAGTTGGGATTCGAAATAATGCCTCTAAAAATGTACTACTTGACTGCTTACTTACGTACGCTGGAGACAACTTCGACAAATTGACGGAATAACATATCAGGATCAATTTCGACTCGAACTTCCTTCTCGCCAGAAATTTCAATGTGAATCTAAAACACAAGATTCTTCTGAAACTCTTCTGACGACACGAAAAAAAGGAAAGGAAAAAGAATAAGAAAGAGGGCGTACTTTATCCGATGCTGTTTCCACAAGCCGACATTTCTCGTCGTACAAACACGCCCGAATAGTGGTCGTGCCAATGTCGACAGAAACGATGTATCTCATTCCCAATTATATGAACTCAACTATGGTTAAGAATTGAATTAAGAATAGCTTGGAATCATTGTAGACATCCGCTAATCCGACAAAAGTGATAACTTATGGATACCTGGAAATTTAGATTAGTGCACATCGAAAAATTACATTGCGTCAAAGAATGGATTAGTCAAGGAAGAAGATGAATAAAAGATCACGAAGAAGAAAGTTTGTATTTTTTGATTGAAAAACCTATATTTCGGGATATAGCCTGATCATAAGCAATCAGTACAAAATCCTGAAATTCTCTTTAGAGTAGATAATTCAGAAGACTGCAGTCAGATTTCCCTTACCTCAACACATAACACTTCCTTAGTACATCAGATTACATCTGAGTACGGAGAGATAAAATATATTTGATTCGTTCTCAATACACTAAGGATTGTCCTAATATTGTTGGTGAAAGAAAAGTTTGCATGTAGTAAGTACTCATGTTAATTACGTCTTTCGAGCGAAGTGATCAACTACCGTAGTCGATCTTAGGATGCCTCCATACTTAAAGATCAGCCGATCCTTGTAACGTTTACAAGCGCGATAAGGATCGAGGGTGCGCAGCGATTGCGTTACGGCGCCGCAGTTGAATAACGATTTGAAGTCGCCTTTAACCCAGCTTCGACGCCTTTTTTTCTCCAGATGACTACTCTTTCTTTGAGGCTAAAGTTTTCAGTGTCAGCGAGTGCGAAGTAGAGGTGCGTACTGAACTCCAAACAATGGATTTACTGCTACACCGCCGCGATCCTTATTGCGAATCCTTATAAATGGGCATACTCTTAGCCGCAACGGCTAGCAAACAACTTGCTTATTGGACCATTCGCAAGGAATTGCGACGCGTCATGGGAAAGTCCGCAACAGGCAATATGGGTCAAAATTGGCTGGTTAGCCTATATGACATACTTTTTTTAATCTCAACTTAGCTAACTATTAAGATTGTCAAGCCAAAATCTAATTATACAATTTTGAGTTTACTGAGTACCATTTACTATATCTTAACGGCTGTAACCATTCGTGAATGTTACCTATTAAACTAGTTGAGAATCTATAATAATGTCAAACAATATTAAAACACGAAAGTGCAAAGGTTTTTGAATAATGAATGCTAACTGCCACCCAACTCAACAAGAGATCCACTCACACTTTTTGGTTCTACATTCTACACTTAAGATTTGGACTGATTATAGAGATGAACATATGATTTTTTGTACGCGCGTCTGGATCTCTTTTGTCAAAGCTAGCAGTGAAGAAAAGAAAAC